GCGTCGGTCTGCGGACTGAAAGGTCCCGGGTTCGATTCCGGTCAAGGGCATGTACGTTGGCTGCGGGCACATCCCCGGTAGGGGATGTGCAGGAGGCGGCTGGTCGATGTTTCTCTCTCATCGACGTTTCTAGCTCTCTGTCTCTCTCCCTTCCTCTCTGTAAAAAATCAATAAAATATATTAAAAAAACAAAACAAAACATATAAAGATACCACAAAAAAAGGGAACTACAGGCCAATATCCTTGATGAACATAGATGCTAAAATCCTCAACAAATTTCTAGCAAATCGGCTCCAGTATTATATCAGAAAGATCATACACCATGACCAAGTAGGATTTTTTCACGGGGATGCAAGGATGGTATAATATCCACAAATCAATAAACATGATACATCTCAAAGACAAATTCAGAGATAAAAATCACACAGTAATATTAATTGATGCAGAAAAACCATTTGACAAGATCCAACACCCACTCTTGATAAAAACTCTCAGCAAAATGGGAATAGAGGGATCATACCTCAACATAATGAAAGCAAAAAATAGTTTGTTATATAACAAACTATAGCCAAAATTATACTCAATGGGCAAAAACTAAAACCATTTCACCTAAGAACAGGAACAAGACAGGAAGGCCCACTTTCACCACTTCTCTTTGATATAGTACTGGAATTGCTAGAATAGTGATCAGACAAATAGAAGAAATAAAAGGCATCCAAATTGGAAAAGAAAATGTAAAGCTGTCATTATTTGCAGATGACCTGATATCATACATAGAAAACCCTAAAGACTCCATAAAAAAACTACTAGATTTAATAAATAAATTCATCAACATAGCAGGATACATTAACACCCAGAAATCAATGGCATGTTTATACACCAAATAATGGACTCATAGAAAGAGAAACTAAAAACACAATTTCGTTTACCATTACAACAAAGAAATTAAGATACCTAGGAATAAACTTAACTAAGGAGGTATACTCCAAAACTATAAGATATTGAAAAAAGAGACAGAGGAAGATATAAATAAGTGGAAGAATATACCATGTTCATGGATTGGTAAAGTCAATATCATTAAAATGTCCATACTACCCAAAGCAATCTATAGATTCAATGCACTCATCATTAAAATACCAATAGCATATTTCACAGACAAACTCTCCAAAAATTCATCTGGAATAAAAAAGACCCTGACTATCTGCAGCAATCCTGAGAAAGAAGAACAAAGTAGGAGGGATTTCAATACTAGACATTAAGCAGTATTACAAAGCCACTGTTCTCAAAACTGCCTGGTACTGACAGATAGACCAATGAAATAGAATAGAAAACCCAGAAATCAACCCAAACCACTATGCTCAATTAATATATGACAAAAGAGGCAATAAACTACAATGGAGTCAAGATAGTCTATTCAATAAATGTATTGGGAAAATTGGACAAATACATGCCAAAAATATGAAACTATTCTACTAAGTTATACCATACACAAAAATAAACTCAAAATGGATCAAGAACTTAAACACAAAACAGGAAACCATAAAATATTAGAGCAATCCACAGGCAGCAAAATCTCAGACATATGCTGAAGCAATACATTCACCCATACAGCTCTTAGTGCAATGGAAACTAAAGAGAAAATAAACAAATGGTACTACATCAGAAGAAAAGCTTCTGTACAGCAAAAGAAGCCATCAATAAAACAACAAGAAAGCCATTGTATAGGAGAACATATTTGCCAATATTATCTCTGATAAGGGTTTAATTTCCAATATTTACAGGGAACTCATACAACATAACAAAAGGAAGATAAACAATCCAATCAAAATATGGGCAATGGTCCTAAATAGACACTTTTCAAAAGAAAACATAAGGCCAAGAGACATATGAAAACATGCTCAAGGTCACTAATTATCTGAGAGATGTAAATCAAAACGACAATGTGGTACCATCTTACACCTGTCAGAATGGCTATCATCAACAAGGACAAGTGCTGGTGAGGATGTGAAGAATAGGGAGCCCTTGTGCACTGCTGGTGGGAATGCACTGATGCAGCCACTGTGGAGAACAGTATGGAGTTTCCTCAAAAACCTAAAAATGGAACTCCCATTTGACGCAGTCATCCCACTTATAGGAATATATCCCAAGAAACTAGAAACACCAACTAGAAAGAATATATGCACCCCTATGTTCATAGCAGCACAATTTACCATAGCTAAGATTTGCAAACAGCTTAAATATCCGTCATCAGATGAGTGGATTAAAGAGTAATAGTCATGGGCAGCCAGGCCCGGAGCAGCAGCTGCCAGACTGGGAGCGGCCAGGCCCGGAGCGGCCGGTTCCGGAGCGGCTGGTTCCGGAGCGGCCGGTTCCGGAGCGGCTGGGCCCAGAGCAGCCGGGTCGGGTGTTGCCAGGTCTGGAGCAGCGGCTGCCAGGCTGGGAGCGGCCAGGCCCGGAGCGGCCGGGCCCGAAGCAGCTGGGCCCTGAGCAGCCGGGTTGGGTGTGGCCAGGCCCGGAGCAGCAGCAGCCAAGTCCGGAGCAACCAGGTCGGGAGCGGCAGTGGCCAGACCCGGAGCAGCTGGTTGTGGAATGGACCAGAGCAACAGAGGCCAGGCCCTGAGCAGCCAGGCCCGGAACAGCTTGCTCCTTGCCTACCCCTGCCCCAAGGCTGCCTCTCAGACATGGCTGGAAACTTTTGCGGGAACTTGAGGGTCTGCTGAATCAAGTGATGAAGGCTTAGATCTGGATGTGTTGAGTAAGTATAGGGCTGGGGTGTTGATCTGTGAGTGCCTTGTGCGGGGCCTGGATGAGGTTGGTTGACCTATTTGGAAATGTCTTTTGTGTGAAGTGTATCTTTGGGCATGTGGAGGTATTATTGATATGAGAAAATGCTAAGTAACTGATTTACTATCTGAAAAGGGATTTACTATCGGGGAAAGGGAGGGAGGAAGAGACTGAACATAAACTGTGCACCTATGGATGAGGAAAATGGGGGAGGGAAGGGAGCGGAGGGTGGGGTGGGAACCTGGTGGAGGGGGGAAGAAATGAGGAACCTTTGTAATAATCTGAACAATAAAGATTGATTAAAAATAAAAAATAAAAAAATAAAATGTTTATTGCTAAAAAAATAAAATAAAATAAAGAGTAATAGTCATGGGATATAAAATACAGCATAGCAAATATAATCAATAATATTGTGATATGTATGATACCTGGTGGGTACAAGAATTATGAGGGGATGACCTTGTAAATTATATAAATGTCTATCTCACTGCTCTGTAAAACTGAAATAAAAAATAATACTGAATATCAACTGTAATTAAAAAATGAAAACAAAAAGCTAAATAAAAAGGAAATATAACTACAAAAATGATTTTAATGTGAAATATTAGAGAGTTCCACATTTCTTTTTTCTATGCAAGTAAAATCCCAAACTTTTGTAAAAGTAATTGTTTGGCATTACTGGGTTTTAACTTTTAAGGGAAACTCCATACTGTTCACAGTGGTTGTAGCAGTCTGCATTTCCACCAGTAGTGCATGAGGATTCCTTTTTCTCCACATCCTCTCTAGCACTTGTCATTTGTTGATTTGTCCATGATAGCCATTCTCACATGTGTGAGGTGTACCTCATTGTCATTTTGATTTGTGACTTGGGGTATATTTTTATGTCTCTTGGCCTTCTTTATGTCCTCTTTCAAAAAGTGTCTATTTAGATCCTTCGTACATTTTTTGATTGGATTGTCTATCTTCCTTTTGTTAAGTTGTATGAGTTCCCTGTAAATTTTGGAGATTAAACCCTGGAATATATCCCAAGAAATCAGAAAGGACATATGCACCCCTATGTACATAGCAGCACAATTCACCATAGCTAAGATTTGGAAACAGCCTAAGTGCCCAACAGCAGATGAGTCGATTAAAAAAACTGTGGTACATCTATACAATGGACTACTATGCTGCTATAAAAAAAGAAGGAACTTTTACTATTTGCAACAGCATGGATGGACCTGGAGTGCATTATGCTAAGTGAAATAAGCCAGTCAGAGAAAGATAAATATCACATGATCTCACTCATTTGTGGAATCTAATGAACAACATAAACTGATGAACAAAAACAGATCCAGAGAGAGAAGCACCAATGAGACCATCCAATCTCAGAAGAAAGGTAGGGGAGGGTGGGAAAAAGGGGGAGAGATCAACCAAAGGACTTGTATACATGCATATAAGCCTAAGCAATGGACACAGATACCAGGAGGTGAGGCCATATGTAGGGGTGTGTGTGTGTGTGTGTGTGTGTGTGTGTGGAGGAGGGGTGCACAATGGAGGGATAAGGACACATATGTAATACCTTAATCAATAAGGACAAAAAAAAAAAGAGCCAGCAAGGCATGTATCTGCCTTTTAATAAAGGAACTTCAGCAACAATCCACTTGGGGCCACTCCTGCTGCAGGGAGTCTGTATATCAATAAACTTTGCTTCCATTTACCTTCTTTATCTACAAACTCATTCTTTGATTCTGCAAGACAAGAAACCTGGATCCAACCACAGCACTTTGACTTGATCTTTTAAGCAGTTCATTTTATATAATGTGAATTGGAGGTTTGTAGTCTTCATGTAAAATTCAGTAACATGAATTTTTATCCTAAAACCCATTTTTTATTTTTGTTTTGCCCCCATCTCCCAAGGATTATTAGTTTATCAGGACAAATAACTAGGTTTCCACCTTAGTCCCTCTTTTGACTCCATGTTTTTTAGAGTTACATTTGTTTCATTAAAATATTGTATACATTTATAAGATAAGTAAAATTAAGTAACAAGAATGGTAACACAACATACAATTCTTAATGACTTTATAAAAACAAATTTTCTGAATACTGGATTGGATAAAAATAAAAACATGAATTATTGTGCTTGAATATTACTTAACAGTCAGATTGAGAATCTAAAACTTCATTTGAAAGATCTTCAGGGAAAGATGCATTATAAATGGAATGATGGGAAATTAGCTTTTCAAAGGGACATATTTTTGTACTTGTTTTGCTCCAATTTCTGCTACATATATTGCTCCAGTCTTTTCACTGATGTCTAAAAGATGAGGTAAAACTTGATCTGCTAGTTGGATTGAGCTTATCACAGAACAGTAGCCAATGCTTCCCACTGGGGGTGCTGCCACAAATAAGAGCCTGCTAAGATTCAGCTGGGCTATAATCAAATACTTTCCATCAGGCGTAAATCTAAAGAGAACACATTTGACATAATAAATTAATGTAAAATTATCATAAATGTTTATTTTCTCAACATTTTTATCCCCATCAGAGCTAAACAACAGCAGGTACCTACTTGCTGAGGGCTTTTATTTCCCCCCAAATTATTTTATCTCTCTGGTTGATAAATTATTTGCAGCATATTTTCTAAATTCATAATATGCTGGATTAGTTTTTACCCGTTCCCAATATATTTTTTTAAATGTATCAAACACACAAACATATACACAACAAAAAGAGAGCAAAAAAGCACAATATTTCATATATAAATATATATAATAAACTGCTTACTAAATTGATTGATTGATTCATTTATTTTATGATTATTGAATTCCTGGCATGCTTGCAGTATTCTAGGTGCCAGGAATTTAGCTGTGAGCAAGAAACCCAAATTTCTACTCTCTTGCCTTTTATTCTAGTGGGAGAATAAACAATAAAACAAATAGAGCAAAAATAGAATGACAAGTAATTATAGAGGCCATGATAAAACTTTAAGAAGGGTCAAGAGATAGAGTGATTAGGGAAGGGCGTGTACTTTCTTAAGGGTTTAAGAGCAGGGACCAGTGGCACGGGAAAGTCACTGAAAACAAGAATCAGAAGGACTTACAGAGAAGACCAGATTGAGTGTTAAATGGTTTCTTTAAAAGATAATTTTAAATTGACCTAATTCTATTAATGTGGGTACAAGAGATTTGTGAAGGTAGACATAGCCAAAGCTTAATTTAAAAAAAAAATAACATGATCATAGTTCTATAATACACAACATGAAAGGAATAAAGAATCTATGTTAGGCTACAGAATCAAGGTTTTCACTTTCATTCTGTTTAAAAATTGACCAAATGCATTTCAAGGAAAATTTCTAGAAGAGGTCCAGCATATATTTGGGTCACACAGTGCACTGGGAATAGAACTACCTAGAATTTAAAATATGATTATATGTTTTCCGTGTACTAGTTTCCTTTGCCCCTTTTCTCTGCTTAAAACTAACAATAAATATTTTAAACGTTCAGCTAATCTGTTTCCCCAAAAATAAGACAGTGTCTTATATTAATTTTTTCTCCCAAAGTTGCGCTAGGTCTTATTTTCAGGGGATGTCTTATCTTTCCATGCGCTAGGTCTTATTTTCGGATGATGTCTTATGTTCGGGGAAACACGGTAGTTTTTCAGAGAACCTAACATAAAGCAAATAAACAAACATCCTATCTAATAAAAGAGCAATATGGTAATTAACCATCACTCTGCAATATCCAAAGCCAATCAGGAAGGAATATGCAGGACAAAGATGGTGGCAGCCATGGAGGCAGCCAGGGCAGTTGGGAGGCTTGGGTTAACCTCGCAATGGAGGAAGCCAAACTTCCCACTTGTCTGGGCAGGCTGCCAAAAAGAGGGGCCTGTGGGTGGTTGCCACAGAGCCAACTTGAGTGCACTGGAGGCTTCAGTCATCCAGTCTGGCTGCCTAGGAAGGGGTCTGCAAAAGACCCTCAATCCCTCACTCAGGCTGGCCATGCCACGATTGGGTTAAGGGTCCCTGCTGGGGGGTGTAGCCAGCCTGCAAACAGCCCTCAGCTCCTCATCCAGGCTAGCCATACCCCTCCAGCTGGCTCCTAACCGCTGGGGGAGTGGCTGGCCTGCAAACTGCCCCAGCCCCTTGGTCAGGCTGGCATCCCCAGTGGGAATTCCCATACCAATGGGGATGTGGCCGGCCTGCAAACCACTACAGGCCCTTTGCCCAGGCCGCCCCACCCCCCAAGGGAACTCCCACCCTGATCCGGGACACCCTTCAGGGCAAACCAGCCGGCCCCTATCTGTGCACTAGCCCTCTATCTATACTAAGAAAAGGGTAATATGCTAATTAGACTGGGAGACCTTCCAGAGCATTCTTCTGGACAAAGCCATGGTGGCAGGGCTGACGTAGAGGCGGTTAGGGGCCAAGCGGGGAGGGCAGTTGTGGGTGATCAGGCCAGGATGGGACAGCAGTTGTGGGTGATCAGCCGGTGGGGGGTGGGCAGTTGGGAGAGAGCAGGCCATCAGTGGGGGTTGATTGGGGGTGATCAGGCTGAAGGTAGGTGGGCAGTTGAGGTGAGCAGACTGGTAGGGGGGCAGTTGGGGGCGAGCAGGCTGGTGGTGGTGGTGGGCGTTTGCAGTTGGGGCAAGTAGGCCAGGAGGCAGAGTGGCTAGGGGCAATCAGACAGGTATGCAGGTGAGCGGTTAGGAGCCAGCAGTCAGCAGTCCCGGATTGCGAGAGGGTGCAGGCCGGGCTGGGGAACAGGCTCCCCACTTCCCTGCGCACAAATTTTGTGCACCAGGCCAGAGTTTTAAAATAAAAGGGAACAATTACCTGACTGAAGAAGGTCCCTCTTCTGTGAAACAATTATTCCATGCTCCTAACCACACTCCAGTGTCTTTATCAAATACTTGAATTCTTTTATTTCCTCGGTCAGCAACCCATACCTGAGAAACCAAAAAAAGAAAATTTTTGCTAGAAAATATCTACATCATAATGAAAAGAAAGAAAAAAGAGGAATGGAGAGAAAATGTTTACTTTTATTAATCACATACAAATTATTTAATTCAGTACTTAGAAATCTCCAAATAAGGTTATTAAAACCCAATTTCAGCTGAACCTGGTTTGGCTCAATGGATAGAGCATCCGCCTGTGGACTGAAGGGTCCCAGGTTCGATTCCAGTCAAGGTCATGTACCTTGGTCGTGGGCACATCCCCAGTAGGGGGTGTGCAAAAAGCAGCTGATGGATGTTTCTCTCTCATCGATGTTTCTCTCTATCCCTCTCTCTTCCCCTCTGTAAAAAATCAATATATATATATATATATATATAAATAAAATAGTAAAACATGCTCTAGCCAGGGGGTCCAGGTGGTGGGTGTGCCATCCCCTACACAGAAAGGTTGTGGGTTCAATCCCCAGTGTGGGTGAGTACGGGAGGCAACTGAATGATGTCTCTCTCTCTCTCTCTCTCTCTCCCTCCCTCCCTTCCTCCCTTCCTCCCTCCCCCCCTTTCTCTCTCTCTAAAATCAATTAAAAAAACAACCTTAAGCATGGATTAAAATAAAATAAAAGATAAAACATGATGTTAGTTTTTAAAAATTAAAAGAAGAAAACAAGCAAAAACCCCAATTTCAGATAGGAAATTAAAGTTCAGAAAGGTTAAATATGTTGAAATGATCTTATATTAATATAAGTGCGAAAACCACTTATGGCCATATATCTTAAACCAAAGCCTATAATGCTATATGAGCTATACTAAATATTTGAATAATTAAAAAATTAATGTACTCCAATATAATGCAGATGATTTGAAGATACTGAAGAAACAGCATTTAGTTATTATTCTTACAAGCATTCACTGTCACAAAGTACTGCCAACTTGTTGGTTCCTGGGCCAGACAATAAAACAAAGAAAGTATCTTTGTTCTTCGGGAGCTCATCCTACAGGAAAGCCAGGTATTCGGTCATTCTGCACTATCATTAAAACTTTACCTGTTATTTACCAAGTTATGTCCAAAATGCTGAATCATTTAAAGAAGAAGCTTGTGAGATTTTAATTACAAACAAAGAATGACAGTAGACCAACAACAGGTTTATTTTAGGTTTGCTCTAGACTCCAAACCTAAAGTAAACCTGTTGTTAAAGAAACTTCTGTTATAAGAAGGTACATTCAAATTACATTTCAAGTATTCTATGTGATGTATGCAACCCATGGCATATGTACAGTGAAACCATTTTTAATAACACTTGGCTAGGGTTGTAGAGCTATAAAGAATGGACTGGAAGGGTGGTCCAACCCAACTGACCTCTATCTCTCTACTTCAGGATCTTCGGATTTCCAGGGTTTGTGGATTCAGGGACTATTTTTTCACAATAACCCTGATTATATTTTATCAAGGTGTATTAAGTTTTGGTAGCCACTGAATTCATCTTTAATCAGAATAAAGAATCATTGCATCACTTGAGGAAGGTTGTTCATCCCTAAATAAGGTAATTGATTTTGGGATTACAGTTTTAGGTTAATGACCAAGGAAGAAATACAGTTTAGTCCCTATGATTGGGAGTACATATGCAAAATAACTCTTTTATTCTCCAAATCCTCTCAAAATAACATTTCTCACTATGGTGAATTTACCTGGGCTTTTGTCTTGCATGCTCAGAAATTTGATGTTGTTCTTATTCCATGAGGACAAGTTAGTTCTAACTTTCTAGTTCCCAAATAACATACCAAGTTCAGTTATCTTCCTATCTATGATAGAAAATACTTGAAAATTTTTATGATCAAAACATTACTTTGTCAAATAGAAAACCAAATCATAATCCAGAAGGCTGCTTGCCGAGTAAAGAATAAGTGGACATGGATTAAATTTCTAATGGCATAAAGCAAAGATAGTCTGATGCATCCATTGTGTACCAAGACAGTTAGTCATTTAACAAATAGGTGTAAGATAACTACTATGTACTAGACACTAATATATAAAACAAAAGAAATTCATATGTACCCTCATACAGCCTACATTCTATTAGGGGAAACAATTAAATCATTCTACTATCCTATATAATAAAGAGATAATATGCAAATTGACCCTCATGTCCTCACACTAGATGTGGTCAGAGATGGCCACAAGATGGCCGGGAGGGGAGGCTAGTCGTGGGCGATTAGGACAGCAAGGGAGGGCAGATAGGGGCAACCAGGCCTGTAGGAGAGCGCAGTTAGGGATGATGGACCAGCAGGGAAGGGCAGTTAGGAAAAACCAGGCCAGCAGGGCAATTCGGGGCAACCAGGCCAGCAGGGGAGGGCAGTTGGGGAGTGACCAGGAATGCAGGGGGGGGCAAGTGGGGACAAATGCAGGGGAGGGACCAGAACAGCAGGGGAGAGAGGGCAGTTGGGGGGGGGGACCAGGCCTGTAGGGGAGGGCAGTTAGGGAGTGACCAGGCCTGCAGGGGAGGGCAGTTAGGGGTGACAAGGCCTGCAGGGAAGGGCAGTTAGGGATGGCCAGGCCAGCAGAGGAGGGCAGTTGGGGGTGAACAGGACTGCAGGACAAGACAGTTGGGGGGGACCAAACCTGCAGGGGAGGGCAGTTGAGGGCAACCAACTTTGGCAGCAGCCCCAGATTGTGAGAGGGATGTCCAACTGCTGGATTAGGCCCGATTCCTAAACTGGCAGTTGGACATCCCTTGAGGGGTCCAGATTGGGGAGGGTGTAGGCTGGGCTGAGGGACACCACCCTCAATCCCCATGCACGAATTTCACGCACTGGGCCTCTAGTAGTTACTATAATATATTGGGAAAGTACCATCTACTACAGGAAACCAGAAGAAGAAACTAATGATAACATTTTGGGTTAGGGTTTGGTTATAGAAAGGATATGCATTTAAACATGCATATTCTTTCACTCCAAAGAATATACATGTTTAAAGGTGTGCAAAAGCAAAAGAGTGATAGTTGATAGGGGTGAAAAAAGGAAATAAATTACAATTTGCTGGTTAAAGCTCTCTGTTTCTTAGACAGAGTACAGCTAGTAAAAATAAAAATTTGGCTAGGTGGCTCTATTATCAAGCTTCCAAGATTAACCTCTTCTATCTGTCTTTTGACCAATACATTCTAGGAATAACTTTGTTTAATTCTAGAATTAAAATTTAAATACTCCCAGTTTTCCTAGTAGGAGAGCAATTCCATTTTTTTTTTTTTTTTAAATCAGGTAACATTCCTTATATTCTGTTCCATTATGTATTCCTCTACCCTTTAAGTGAATATAAGATCTATTTTGCTCATTTCTAATATTTGGACAATACTTTCTTTATAGGACTCAAATATTTATAAGACAATACATTGGATATACCCAGTCTCAGAAATACTGTCAAGACATAGTATACTACATACATCCATATCCACATCCAAAATATACATACATATCCAGATGTCCAGACATGAACAGGTGCACTAAGATCCTTATGTACACTTAGACACACACATACAAACACATCCAGAGACACATTTCCAGATACAATGACACTGTATTTTTACCCGACCAGATGAATCAACTGTAACACTGTGAGGTATGTTGAATTTAGCAGGACCTGTCCCGTTTTCTCCATGCAGCCAAAGCATCATGAAATCTATAAATGATAAACATATATGGTCAGGGAAACATAGCATAGAAAATACCTTATGTATTTGCATGTTATATTTTATGTCATAGGATGCAGACACACTTTTCAATTATAACCCCACTAGAGGCCAGGTGCATGGGGTCATCCCTCAGCCCAGCCTGCACCCTCTTTAATCCTGGACCCCTCGGGGGATGTCCGACTGCTGTTTCTCAATCTGGGACTGCTGGCTCTGAACTGCTTGCCTGCCTACCTGCCTCATTGCCCCGTAACTGCCCCCCAGTCAGCTTGGTTGCCTGCTAACTGCTCCCTTGCCAGTCTGATCACTCCTAACTGCCTCTGCCTTGGCCCCCACTGTCATGGCTTTGTCTGGAAGATGTCTGGTCTAATTAGCATATTACCCTTTTATTAGTGTAGATTCCTTCCTTTCTGTTTATATACCCACTAGAGGTCCATGCACAAGATTTGTGCACTGGGGGTCAGGGGAGGGACCCCTCAGCCTGTCCTACACCTTCTCCAGTCTGGGATCCCTTGGGGGATGTCTGCCTACTGGCTTAGGCCCAACATCCCCAAGGGGAAGTCAGACATCCTACTTGCAGTCCAGGACCCCTCACTCCTTACCATCAGCTTGCAGTGGAGGTGGGAGAGGCTCACGCCACGACTCCTGCTCTCACCAGCGGTGAGCCCTGCTTCTGGCTCAATGACACTCCCCTGTGGGAGTGGAGTGACCACCAGGGGGCAGCTCCTGTATTGAGTGTCTGCCCCCTGGTGGTCAGTGGGTATCATAGCGACTAGTCGTTCCTCTGTCCAGTTGATTTGCATATTACGATTTTATTATGTAGGACTTGCCTATTTCTTATGCTTTACAAAAACAAATTTTTTCTGTTTCAAGCAATTATTTTCCTTTTTAAATGGTCATCACTCAAACATTTAGGGTTCATGTCAATCTCTTCCTTAAACTGGTTCTGCTTGCCAACTAACCTGTTCTTTGGTTTTACCATTTCTCTGAGCTCAAATATTCACATTATGTTTCTATAGTCTATCTCATTTACTACCCTGTAGTTGGTTACATTGTTGCCCCCTGCAAACATATGACCAAGTCCCAATGTCTAGTACTTATGAATGTGACCTTATTGGAAATAGGGTCTTGGCAGAAATAGTTAAGAATTATGAGACAAAGTGATCCTGGAGTTAGGTTGCATCTTCAAGCCATGAGAGAGGGAGACGAGATACAGAGACACACAGTGAAGAAGGTCATGTAAAGACTGATGCAGAGACCGAGCAATGCTGTCACAAGTCAAAAAAGTATTTGGAACCACCCGAGGCTGGAAGAGGCAAGGAAGGATTCTCTTCTGGTGCCTTTAAAGGGAGGATGACCAGCCCTATAGATTTCAGACTCTGGATTCCAAACCACGAGCAAATAAATTTCTGGCCCTGACTGGTTTGGCTTAGTGGATAGAGCATCAGCCTGCGGACTCAAGATTCCCAGGTTCGATTCCAGTCAAGGGTATGTACCTTGTTTGCGGGAACATCCCCAGTTGGGAGTGTGCAGGAGGCAGCTGATCGATGTTTCTCTGTCATCAATGTTTCTGGCTCTCTATTCCTCTCCCTTCCTCTCTGTAAAAAAAATCAATAAAATATATTTTAAAAATAAAATTGTTTAAGCCACCCAATTTTAGTGATTTTTTGCAGCATCCACAAGAAGCTAATGCAGCCATATTCAACCCATCTCCTAAATTTGTTTCTTTCATAGAAATTTTTAGATTCCTACTTTAGCTCCACCTCACCTTCTTTTAACTATCACCAACCAAATTCAGTTACTAAGTGATAAATAACTACATAGCTTCCATATTACAGAACTTACCTCAAATATATCCTGATATAATATCTTGCAAAACCTTTGCTTCTATAGCATCACTTTTCTACTAAAAAAGAGCAATGACTCTTTTTCTTTTAAAAATTTATTGAAGTAGAGAGACAGAGAAATGGAGAAAGAGAGAGGAATAGAGGGGGAGAGAAACATCAATTTGTAGTTCCACTTATTTATGTGTTCATTGGTTGCTTCTTATAGCAACCAATTGGTTGCTCCTGCCTGGAGATCAAACCCTCAACCTTGGGGTATCAGGATAATGGTCTAACCAACCGAGCCACCCAGCCAGGGCCACAAAGACTCTTTATAGCTTCAAAGCTTCAAATCATTAGAGGAGAGACTTCCATGACACTGCCAGACCATGAGCTAGATTTGGCCCAGATTGTTTTTCATAAATCCCCCCCGAGAAACTCTCTGATCTATCCTTTTCCTATGCTCAAAGGAATGCTGGTTCATGGATCAGGCGGTTGCCCTTACCATGGCAAGCTTGTAAGGCCTTTTCCTCTTGGTAACCCTATTCATTCTGGCCTTTTCTATATAATTCTTTAGCATCTACCATGCAGCTTGGAGGATATGCATATCTTCTTGCTGCCTCCCTGGGATGTGCCTCCTATGTAAGTTCCCTCAGTAAACTCTAGCTATAATGCCAGGATGTCAGCTACTTTTTTTTTTTTTTTGCCCTAATTTTCCCATCATAAGCTCTCATAGACATACAAAATCTTATTTTCGACTCTTTATAAAATGCACCTTAAGATCCTTTCCTAAAGAAGATCTATCATCACATGAAGACTGTGTAATAAAGACTTGTGAATGCTCCTTCTATCCTGCTCTTATTCTCCCACTGAAACCAGCTTAGTGCAAGAACTGTTTCCTTCTTTAATTCTTAACCTAATTCTCTAGTCAATAGTAATTTCTTTTTTATAATTTTATTAATATGATTAACAATCAATACCACAGAGTAACATTTAACTGTTTTATTTGTAATAAACCTGCACCTAACATATTACTGAGGATGCAGAGCAGGAAATTCAATAAAACACTTGCTGATTGCCTGGGCCCGTGTAACTTGATGGGAGTGTCAGGTAGCTCATGAAGGGACATGGGTGGATTCCCAGTTAGAGGCACATACCTGGATGGACGGTTCATTCACAGCCCTGGTCAGGATGCATGCTGGAGGCAACCAATCACTGTCTCTTTCTCACATCGATATTTCTCTCTCTTTCTCTGGGTCTCTCTATCTCCCCTCACCCCTTCCCCTCTACCTAAAAGCAATGAAAAAATATCCTCAGGTGAGGATTAAAAACAAACATATTATACACAAAACACTTGCTGATCAATCTAGTTGCATGATATCCCCTGGAATGCCAGGTTTCTGGACTATCAATCCTTAACTGAACAGAATAACCATTTATTTCTTCAGTCTACTCTAAGTTCTCATACTATCTCCAGTTCATTTCAAAGGAAACACCTAGCTTTTGGTGAAGAATAAGCAAATCTATTATCAGAATCATTCATTATTGGCCATCCCACACATGTTCTGATTTTATCCTGGTAATACATTTGAACCCTTTACAAATTCAGATTCAGTAGTTAACATTATATTATACCAAGTATAAAACAAATTAAATCCAACTTGTTAAATAATGTTCTTATAAAATACCATTAAAATTAAGCCATGTACCTTGGGACAACTTGATCAATCTGTTATTCAATCCTCCATCTCCATCCACAATGTATATATCTCCTGTGTCCTCTACATATAATTCTGCAGGGTTATCAAACTGCAGGGGATTCAAACCAGTGCCTTTTTTGCCTGGGGTACCCAAGACTTGAACAAGATCACCAAAGGAATTATATTTTTTAATAGTATGGCCAAAGGGTCCTAAAAAAAGCAGAAATGCAAATAAAGACATTTCACGATACAATCACTTTACAAACATGTTTTTCAAGTATAGTTGATCTTTGAACAATGAAGTGGGAGAAGGTGTGTTAGAGGCACCAACCCCTGCACAGGTGAAAATCACATATAACTTTTAACACCCCCAAAACTTAACCTGTTAACCGAGGAGTTCCCTTTTTAATTACACAACGTACAACGGGTGCATACTCTTTCACTAGGATGTGTCAGTATGTCAAGCCCAGTGGACGTAATTTTATATTATTATTATTTTTATTTATACTTAATTAAAATAAATGAAATATATATTTTTCGTTTATATATAAAGCACAAAAGAAAATACAAAATTACAAACAGAAAATACCAACAAAAAAATGAAAACATCGAAATAAAAAATTATAAATTTTATAATTATAAAGATTACAAAAAATATATTTTTTATTTCTATACACAATCAAAAATATAAAAAAATTAACAATTACAGAATAAACAAAAGCACACAAATATAATAGAAATATTGAGTTTAAAAAATTGAAATATAGATGTAAAAATTCAAAACTCAACTTCCGTGTGACATATTTTAAAACAATTGTTATACATAGTGCTACCTTACAATCCAGACACCAGTATGTAGATTCTTTCCTAACACCTTTTTGTAGCAAACTCGGCATTTCATGGATTTAGTTTTTCTTATATTGCTTTTCATTTGTTCTGGAAAATGCCTTTCAACTAAGCGTGATGGTTTAGATGTAGAGCTGCTTGTTGATGTCTTTGGGTGGGTTTTCACTATGTTGTTATCTACCAATTTCTCTACACACTCTATCAAAAAGTGTGATCGATCCAAATGACCTTTATCTTTTTTATATATAATATATGCATTGAAGCAGCACATATCAATTAATCGTAGAAAAATTTTTTTTTATAAAATTTTTTTACCCTATTACGGGCAGCCGTGTAGGCCACCATAACTCCATCTCCCAAATCTACACCGCCCATATTCTTGTTATAATCCAGGACAACATTTGGTTTTTCTTGCCTTCTTCCTCTCTTTTCAATCATTGTTTTTTCGTGATTATGAATAGAACTGAGCATCAATACGTCTTTTTTATCCTTCCATTTTAAAACCATAAGTTTGTCTTTGATTCTTACTATATGTTCATTTTTCTGTAAATTTTTTTGTTTTTATTTCACTGGGGATTCCGACTCTGTTTATCCTCATTGTTCCAACAATGTCTGTATTGTTTTGACACAAGAGTTCAGCCAAATGAATCGACGTATAGAAATTATCTAAGTAAATCCTATACCCTTTATTCAGTAAGTCATGTGTTAACTCCAAAACAATTCTTGTTGATTGTTTTTCTTGTGGGTAGTTTGAACCATAATTTGTGTCCTTGCCTGTGTATAAAATTATATTTTGTACGTATCCAGATTGGCTTTCACTCAAAATAAACAACTTCATTCCAAATCTAGCTCTTTTTGTAGATATATATTGTTTCCAATATAAATTCCCTTTCCATAATAAAAGAGATTCATCTACACATATTTCTCGTTCACATACATAAAAACTTTTAAACTTTTCTGACAAATTATTAATGATTGGATCAATTTTATATGTTTTTCTATCATATAAAGGTTGGAGATATAAAAAATATAAGTAAATGATATATAATACGAAAATAGGTAGGTAACTGTAAGTATGAACCTATCACTGCTCACCCAGAACACGTCCACCACTCTCAATAGCGAAATTATACTGATTCCCTCCGTGTCTTAAATTCATGTTGAGACATGTATGGATGACTAATGCCTTTGTTGTTCAGAAATATAGTCCCGCCTGTTTCAGGGTGCAACATATATTTCAAGGACGTATTTATATGTCCTACCCGTACCCGATATTGTTAATGTTTGACGTATTTATACGTCCTGCTCGGTTAACAGGTTAACAACTAATAGCCCACTACTGACTAGAAGTTATTGAAAGCTTAGACAGTCAATTAACACATATTTTGTATGCTATGTGTATTATATAGTAATACATTGTATTTTTACAATAAGACTAAATAAATGGAAATGTGCCCTGGCCAGTGTGGCTCAGTTAGTTGGAGCATTGTCCTGTGCACCAAATAGTAACAAGTCTGATTCCTAGTCAGGGCACATACCCAGGTTGTGGGTTCCATTCTCAGATCAGGAGGCATAAGGGAGGCAACCAATCAGTTTCTCTCTCATCAATGTTTCTCTCTTTCTCTCCCACTCCCTTCCTATTTCTAAAATCAATAAAAAATGTAAAAAAGATAATAAACATAAAAAAGGATATAAAAAAGACATGGTCAGAAATGAAGAGAACAGTATCTGAAGCAGAAGATTGAGTCAGTGATTTGGGAGATTAGTTAACAGAAACCACCCCATAAAAAGAAAACAGAGTAATAAAAAAAAGGAATTTAAGAAAATGAGGATAGTTGTTTAAGGGACCTTTGGGACAATATGAAGCATGACAACACTCGCCTTATGGGAATACCCAAAGAAAAGAGAGAACAAGAAATTGAGAACCATTTGAAGAAATAATGCCTGAAAACTTCCCCAATCTGGTAAAGTAAAAACACATGCAAGTCCAGGAAGTGCAGAGAGTTCAACCCAAGATGAATCCAAAGGGGAACATATTAAAATGGCAAAGGTTGGAGAAGAAAATGCTGGCTGACGAGGCAGACCTGTAATGAACCCCATCACAGGGCCAGACTGGAAATACAACTAAATTGGAGAACATTCACCTGGAATTACCAACTGAGGTTCAGCTGAGGAGGAGACATATCAAAGAACAGAAAACACCTGGAATGAATAGGCGGGACGAGGTCTTGAGAGGAGCTGACACAGCTTACAGGGGAGACATGGCAGCAAGAAGGAAGGCCAAGTGAGGAGAGATCTCTATTCCCTCAGAAGATATAAGCCTGAAACCCAGGCTGAGCTCCACAGTCCAGAGCACTAGTCGAGATCAGTGGTCCATGTAACATCCAGGCATGAAAGATGGCAGGACTGCTGGCCAGGGTACAGTCTGGAGCCCGAAAATGGGAATAAGTCGGACAGAAAGCTGCAGTTTCGTTTTTATTGTTTTTTGTTTGTTTGTTTTGTTTTTTTAAACAAAACAAAAACAAAAATTCCCCACAGAGCACAGCAGCTTTCATTTACAACTACTCACCAGAGGTTTTGGTGCAGGGAGGGAGACTGGAGGAGAGGCTGGTGTGGCAAGCATTGTGGAGAGATGTGGAAAAGCAGCATCCAAGAATATTTGGTCGTAGGCCCCAAAACAAAACAGCCATTTTTCCTGAGAGGAGCCAGCTACTCCCAGTAGCAACAGGGCAAGAAAAGAAAGAAAAAAATAACCCGCCCTAGGTGATACAACCTGTCCCACCCTCAGGAGCTCTGCATACCAGACTCTGCATTTTGAGCTTTTTGAGGAAACAAAAATAGAGGCCACGTCTAAGGATTTGAACAGTTTCAGGAGCTGCAGTGACTGGATTGGGGAGGTGCCATCTGCTCCACTATCCTGGGAACCAGACAGGTGGTACTCTCTCCCTGAACAGGAGAGCTGATAAAAAAAATACAGGTGTCCAGCCAAACTCACTGGTCTCCATACAAGTATCTGTCTAGCTGAGGGCGGAGAAAAATTTTGGGCCACTCATGAAGGAGTAGCTCTGGGACAGGGAAACACACCCATACAATTCCCAGAAAGCTAAACAGCACTTCCCCCACATTAAAGCCCTTTCAGAAAGACTTTTGAGTGGTTAAGATTGACAGCTAGCTAGGAGGCAGAGGCAGGCAAAGGTAAAAGCTGGAGAACCAGCCCTGGGCCCCATGCTAACAAACCTACATTAAAGGGCATATTGGCCCCTCCTGCATGCAGCCAAGGCCAGTAGAGACAGACACAAAAAATGGTGGATGATGGGTCACTTGGAGCTTCGAACAGGTTGCTGAAAGCCAAAGGAGGATAGTTCCTGACAGTGGTTAGCACCTAAGTTCCTCACAGGAAGCCCAGAATTGGCAGAGAAGAACAGGATCTAAAGGAAGCTCCCATTGGAGACTAAACTCTGGTGAAACAAATGCCACTTCACCACTTTTTAATATTTTTATTTTTTATAGCCATATGAATATATTTTCTTTCTAGAAAAACAACTGTAAATATAATAAAGTTACATGGAATAAACATTAATATTTAAAGAAAAACAGCCCCCCTAAAAATCCCTTTTTTAAATATACTTTTACTATAGGTCCCGTGAAGGAGATTCGTGAATGGGGGTGAGGGTACTTCACCCGGCCTGCACCATCTAGCAATCTGGGACCCCTTGGGGGAAGATGAACTGTTGGGTTAGCCTGATCCTGCAGGAATGCCTAAACTGGCAGTTGGACATCCCTCTCGAAATCTGAGTCTGCTGGCTCCTCCCTCTCACCTGCCTACCTGCCTGCCTGCTTGCTCCTAACCACTCTGCCTGCCTGATCACCCCTAACCACCTCTGCCTCCCTCCCTAATTACCCCTAACCTCTGCCTGCCTGATTGCCCCTAACCACTCACCTGCCCAACTGATTGCCCCTAACTGCTCACCTGACTGCCTGATCACCCCTAACCTCCTCTGCCTGCTTGTCTGTTCGCCCCTAACCACCTCTGCCCCCACCACCGTGGCTTCAACCAAAAGGACATCCCAAAGATCGTTCGGCTGTCTGGTCTAATTAGCTTATTACATGTTTATTATAATAGATTGATTTGAGAGAGAGAGAGAGAGAGAGAGAGAGAGAGAGAGAGAGAGAGAGAGAGAAACATCAATGATTAGAGAGAATCATTGATTGGCTGCCTCCTGCACAACCCACTGGTGATTGAGCCACAGCCTGGGCATGTGCCCTGATTGGAAATCAAATCATGACCCCCTGGTTTCTAGGTCAATGTTCAATCACTGAGCCATGCCAGGTACACAAAACATTTTTCTTTTTCCTCTTTCATC